GCCACGGGCAGGAATGCCACCCACTAGATTACGTTGCTCAGAGCCCCATCCAGCCTTGCCTTGAAACACTTCCAGGGATGGGGTATCCACAGCTTTTCTGGGCAACCTGTTCAGTGCTTCACTACCCTCACAGTCAAGAATTTATTCTTAACATCCAAAATCTTAATCTCTCCTCTTTTAGTTTAAAACCCCTTGCCCTATCACTATTTGCCCACGTCAAAAGTCGCTCCCCCTCTTTTCAATAAGCCCTCTTTAAAGTAGAAGGCTGCAACAAGGGCACCCCAGAGCCTTCCCTTCTCCAGGCTGAACAACCCCAATTCTCTCAGTCTTTCCTCATAGGAGAGGTGGTGTTGCATTTCCCTAATCAGCTTCCTGGCAACATCACTAGTCTCTGGCAGTGTGTAACACAGGCAGTCTGTATCAGCACTCACTAACATTCACTGAGGTGCAACATGGTTAAGGCCTCAATTTGAAGTGCCACGTGAATTACCTGATCTAGTTCAGTTGGAATGTACTGGATGGCACCACAGGACGAGGCCACTTTCAGAAGGCTGCAGTACACTGTGTACCTCACAGGAGTGTTCTTGTCCATGCCATGGAACAGGTTGCTCAGGCTACACCAGAGACAAGGAACAACGGAGTTAAAGAGGTGTCAAAAAACATCACTGCAGTGCAGGTAACTAGTACAGACAGAGCACACCTGGCTGCACCTTACAATCCAGATGAATTGTAACGGCTTCCAGTTTTGTAATTGTTTTCAGCCAACAAGCTGAAAAACGTGCATTTCAATTTTCTAATACCCAAGGAAAAAAAATCTATTGATACTACTATTTTATGATGAAGAAGGTAAAAAAAGAGTGCTTCCTGCAACAGAGAGACAGCCACCCCACACTTTGATTTAAAGATATACACGATAATCCTTCCTCTTTAGAGGCACAATTGCTTTGCAAGGTACCATTGTCCCACTTTCCTCTGTACAGTACTTACAGCTGCAATCTAAGAGATGGGCGCTCTCCTTCCCGAAATTTTACTAACTTCTCACACAGGTTTTCAATCAGTGCCTCTTGTTTGTCAGGTTCCAGGATAAGAAGCAAAGAGACTACACTGTTCATCACACTCTCAACATCTGCATAAAACAAAACACAGAGCTGCTGAAAACTGCAAGCAACAGTTTTATCATCAGTAGCTACCTACTGCTGGAGAGTTACCTCTGCTATGAATGATGATTTTCCAACAGCAAGAACTGTAAAAGAGAGAAAATGCCATGATAACCAACCTGGATATTCATCAGAATGCACCAGAGATTTGGCTCAGGTGGTCTCAGACCAACACATCTCCATGTAAGAATTACCACTCTAAGGTCAACACCGAATGTGGTATCTGATGTCACGCTTGCTCTGAATTCTGTTTACACATAAGAGAAATCAGAGGAGCTTCAGGTTTTGGTCTTAAAAACAGTGGCTTCCTCCTGCACATCCAGGAAACTGCCCAGAGTTCTGCATTGAGAATACTAACACCTAGTGCTCAACTACAGTAAAACATCCCACCAGCAGAAGGGATTCCCAGACCACAGGGAAAATGCCCACAGGAAGAATGAAGTGTATTCAAAATCCTCCCTGGCTCTTGTTTTAAGTGTAGTGTTCCATCCTTCCCAAACAGAGCCAGACAGGTCTTATGTTTCCGTTTCAGTCTGCCCAAATATCAATCACACAAAGGCTAAGAACAAAATTCATTACACATGGAAAATATTTATTCCCCAAAATATCTGAGCATCAAAAAGCAGAGCAATAAGCTGCTCCCGTATTTCCTACTCATTTGCCTACAGTAAAAAGCAACATAAAAAATAACCTCGAGTTATCCTTCTTAGATGAACCAAGAATTCTTTCAAACAACACGTATTACTCAAATTAGCAGTTGATTTTTTACATGTACAAGTTTTAGATGGAATTTGCATATTGGTACAGAGCACAGCAGGCACAGGAAGATCACCGAAGGCCACTGCAGCATTATCAGTGTAATTAAGAAATATTAGTGCAGCTTCTAAGGATCTACAGCCCTAATTCAAAGAGTTACTGACTACTGAAAATCACAGTGCTTCAGACAATAATAATCAATTACTGTTTAGGACTTAAAACTTCTATTTACAGATATCCAGGCCTAATTTTTGTTGTTACTTTAATTTTTCTTGATCTGCAGCATCACAGCCACTATTTGACAGTGAGTCTTATTTTCATAATACTTTTTCTTTTCCAGAGAGAAACCCCTGTTTTACATAAACCTTGCTATGCCCTCAGGCATACAAGGCACAGTGGAGCTCCATTTCTGACTTTCTTCAAAGGGCTCTGGATGTTTGGAGAAGGGAGGGGCAGCGAGTACATGCAAATCTTCCACGGCAGCGATGGAAATAAGCAGTTCCAGTTTTATGAAGGTATATGGCTTGAGTATTAACACATGCTACACACTTCTAAACTCTGCCAGCTGTTACTGTTTGAAAGCAACAAGACTCAAAGGTGCAAACCTTTGTCATCCTCTTTCAGGCACACATCACACACTTCAATGATCTGTGCCAAGTCCACATGGAGTCCACCTTCAGCGTTTTCTTCAGAGATTTCTGCTCCTTTGGATTTCAGGTAAGCTCGCAGTTCTGCAGCCTTAAAAGAAAAGAAAGACAATACAAAACAAAACAGTTGTTTTGTGAACAGCAAGGTCGAGGTAATTAAATTTCATACAGATTTTTGTTCTGCAACCACTCCTCTGCCCCCAGCACTCACTCACACTTCCTCTCACTGCTCCCTGGCACCCTGTACCCTACAACACTCCCTCTCCTCCACTTTAGGGTAGAACACAGACCAATTTGGTGCCAGATTGCAGCACTTGCTAGAGCTGGTTTGTCAGTAACTGAATAGGTCACACAACTGCTGGACTTTCTTACAGTGTGAAGGTGCCACTTACAACTGGTTCCTGCACAGCAGGCCTAGTAAGTTTTTGTGACAAAGATGCTTTCTTATGAATTTTTATTATCCTTTACTCCCTTTGAAAACTTCAGGCAAACAGTAAAGCCCTTTAGTTGCTTCTTCACCAGAAATGGGAGGTATAAACCAGAAAAAGGGTAGAAATTTTAGAGAGAGCAGAACTTACAGTCTTCACACAACTTTAAAGACAGTTTCCAATTTATCACAGAATGGTTTGGGTCGGAAAGGACCTTAAAGATCATCTTGTTCCAACCTTGCCTCCATGGACAGGGAACCTTGCACTAGACCAGGTGGCTCAGAGCCCCCTCCAACCTGGTCTTAAAATGCTACAACCTGCCTTACACTGCTAGGATTTAAACCTGCACTAAAAAAACACCTTTTCCTCAGCGACATGCCTTTGCATTAACTTCACAATCCACAGTTTCAGCAGCAAAACCATAACCCTTAAAAACAACAGTTTGTTCTGTGTGAGGCCACACAAACTTTTGGCACAGGGCACCTCTGACCAGGATGCTGCCGTGATGACCCACAAGTGTCATTTACATCCAGTTCAAAGCCAAACCACTACAGAACCATCAGACACAGCTAAATTAATGCTCTGGGACCCTCTGCTGCACCGAGGATGTTTCAAATCAACGACCTGATAGAGCTGTACCATTATGGCAAGTGAAAAGTGGATGAAGGCTGTCTGTGCGTTTCTTGCAGATTTCCAGCTGTGTGTACATACACCACCTCAAAGACACTGGCATCAAAAAACCCTAAACTCCAAGGTCACAACAAAGAAGCAGCCCAAAGACAAAACTCCCGGTTCCCACGCCTGTAGCACCGAGAATCCCGCAGAACCGAGGCGCGTAAGGAACGCCCATACTCGAACCGCCTCCTCCTGAACAAAAAGCGGGGGTGGGAGGGCTGAAAACCAGGTGACGAGCACCGAGGAGGGAGCAGCAAACACAGCAATTACGTTCAGTGTCTCTAAATCGCCCGTTTGATCTCGGCGGGGAAGAGCCCGGAGGAGCCCACGGGGCGCCCGTGGCCCCGCCGGGGCAGCTCCCACCACCACCGCCGCCCCCCGGCCCGGTGCGGCCCCCCCGGCCCGGTGCGGCCTGTGCCGCGGTGCGGGCGCTGACCTGATCCTCCTCGGTGATGTCGATGAAGGCCGGGACGCTCATGGCTCCGAGCACGCCGCGCTCCGGAAAGGCGGATCGGCTTCCGCCGCCGCGCCCGCCCGGCTCCCCTTCCGCTTCCCGCCGACAGCGGGCGGGGCCGACATCACACCGCCCTGCCCCGGCCCGGCCCTGCCCGGGGCCACCATCCCACCGCCCTGCCCCTCCTGGCCCTGCCCGGGGCCGCCGTCCCACCGCCCTGCTCGGGACTGGCCCTGCCCGGGGCCGTCATCCCACCGCCCTGCCCGGGCCTACCCGGCCTGGCCCTGCCCGGGGCCGCCATCCCACCGCCCTGCCCCGGCCTGCCCTGCCCTGCCCGGCCCGGCCCTGCCCCGTGCCCGGGCGGGGCCTGAACTTTGGGCTGTCCCCCCCTTCCCCCGTTAGCAGTTTAAGTGCGTTCCTAGCGATTTCTCCTGGGACGAGATGAATAACAGACTTCGTTTAGACTGTCGGGAGTGAAGCGTGGTAGGAGCCGATGCCGGTCCCCTGATCCTTGCTGTGTCTCAGCCCCTGAGCTCGCACTGCAGTTTGAGAGTGGCGAGCCGTCGCTCGGTGTTAGCGGTGTGTTGTCCCTGAAGAAATTTCCCGTTCGGCTCAGGAAGACCCCCGCGAACGTAGGTTGACTTTCCCCATGTTGCAAAGGCTAAAATAAAACTATAAAATCGCTAAGGTCGGATCCAAGATCACCGTGACCAAGCAGTGACCCAGCACTGCCGTGTTTGCCGCTGAACCGTGTCCCCAGGCGCCACATGCAACTGTTTTTTGGACACTTCCAGTGATGGTGACTCCACCACTTTCCATTCCAGTACCTGACAGCCCTTTCAGTGAAGAAGTGTTTCCTAATATCCAGTCTAAACCTGCCCTGGTGCAACTTGAGGCTGATTCCTCTTGCCCTGCCCCCTGTTACCTGGGAGAAGAGGCAGACATCCACCTCACTGCCACCTCCTTCCAGGTTGTTGGTCACACCTCTCAGTGCCTTCCTGGTGTTGCCTCTGTTTAGCAGAGAGAGACTGCTCTGCTGTCGATGAAACACCCAGCCCCAGTTTTACCAATGAGGTTTGAGATATAAATATGGAAACACAACTAAAAATGGGCCTTAAGTACAATACTTGGTATTCTCAGTGGTTTGTATTTAGAACTTCAGAGACTCATCGAGTATCAATGACAGCCTTGGAGTTTTCAGAGAGGTTTGCCAATATATTAGAAGGTAACTAGAAAGAACTAGCAATTGATAATGAACACAAGGTACGTATAGACTAAAAGGATTCCACTGCAGACAGTTGCTGTGCTTGAAAAGTATTTTTGTTGTCCTGGAAATTCCCTATGAAAATCTTCATCCCACTGGCTGGTGGGTGGGAGTTCCACCCCTTCTGCAAAAGCTGAAAAAAATTAATTCTGCTGTGGAGCTGACAGGCAATTTGTAGGGATATAAAATCCCTACTCTGAGGGATATAAAAGCCACACTCTGAGGTTTGGGGGAATATGCAAAGGACAGCTTTTGCATCTCTTGGCTTTATACTCTGACCTTTTCACATATGAACACTAACACACAGAGTGTGATTCTATCCATAGCCTCTCTTTGTTTTGGATCATCAGGCATTTGGGGGAATGTTTCTAATACTGGTTTTGTATAAAATATGTAGAAGATACTGAAAGCACTAGCAGTTTCAACCTTTTATCAATAAAGGCTGAATTATTAGTCACATCACCTTATTATTATTATATCCACCATAGTTTGCAGAGATAAAAGTGTCTTTTAAAAGCTTCCTACATTTCCTAAGTTAGTAGGACTGCTGTGCACAAACTTCTTTTTTTTTTTTTAATATAAACCTGACCAAATAATGACTAAACTTCTTTATTGAGTCTAATACCGGAGCAGGGGTAATGCCTGCTTCTGAGTTTCTACAGCACTGAGCACACTGAACCTTTTAAAGGCCCAAGCTGCCTTTATTAAATGTCATGGCTCAAATTAGTTTTGATCGTCTATGTGGTTGTGTGACTTTTGAATAATAGTTCAACTTTTAATTTTTCTATCATACAAATCCTGCCTAATTAATTTATTCTACTTCGGGCAGTATTTTAAAAATACTCTCCTTACTGTAACTGATTAATTATCTTTACTAAGAGTGGTTTTAAACAGAATATTTTAATACTGTCTGATGGATAGACTTACAAGTATTTTGTATTTTATAGGTCAGCATTCTGGAAGTTATAGATAGATGTAGAGATAGGTCTCATCTTTATCTGGTCTGGAAGGGGATCTGATTTTCAGAGAATGAGAGCTTGAGCATTTTTAAAGTGCAGGTGACTTTCATCTAGTACTGCTTAACATGGTCCTGAGAGAGTAAAGGTGATTTGGGATCCAGCACCCCGGGGGGATAGGGATACATTATATAATTTATTTGTGCACATCTTTAGGTGACATTTCAGGTGCTGAAGTACATTCCTAACGCCAGTTTACATTCTGGAATATGCCTGCATGCCTTCAAGCTACCACGAGTCCCCTATAGATCCCATACTGTGTCTGAGATTCCTCTGCAGATGCCTCAGACACCCCAGGGCATATAAATGTCCCAAATCACACGGGGACCTCCCAACCCCAGTGTCTCTTTTGTGTTTAGGTAGTACACCCAGGCGGGGGTTTGTCATGTATTATTCTGAATGTACAAAAATAAAATAACCATTGATCACACTGGGTAGACAGGACACGACTCTAAAGAGCTCTGCTGAAATATCCACATATGGTCTGTTGCATGATACTTTATTTGTCCCAGAAGAATTAAGATGATAGATGATAGCTGGGGTTTGAACTTGTGCATCAGGAAGGCCACTTTGAATATAAAGAGGGCAGTATGTGTTTTGTGAAACTACCGATGGAAAGAGGATGTAGTGGAGGAATGGGTTTCAGTTTTATTGGAGTTATGACATTTCTGTGGAAACGAGGCAGTAGTCGTTTATAGTCCTGTCTGCAGTTCGTGAAGCCAGTTCTGGAACGGGGCGTGGATGGGGTTAAAGCGCTGCCGAGGGAGCCAGAGGTCCCTGTGGAGGCTCCCGGGATGGGGAGCCCCGGGGCAGGCAGGTCTGCAGGGAGGGGCGGGAGCGGCACCACCACAACCGGCTAATGTGGGGATGTCTATGTGTGTCTATAAACACATGGAGAAAGTCTTAAAACCCAGGTAGGACTTAACTGCTGAAGGCAAAAGATGAATTTTGGCTGGCACCCACTGTAAATTTGGGTTCGTTTCTGTAGGCAAACCACAGGGAGAGATGGAGTCCAAAGAACTGATATTCTGCCCTGCGTGCTTTGAACGTGGTGGCTGAAGAAAACAAAGTCCTTCAGGTGACACATCTTTAAAAGCACTTTTTATGGAGGCTCTTTGAAATCAGCAGACAGCTTTTGAAAATAAAGGGTTGAAAGCTGACTCAAGAAACTGAGCCTCTTTTGTTAAAAGCATTGATGAAACAGATCTCCAACGCAGAAAAGAAACGCAGGCTCTACGATGGCATAATTTTTCCTTTTTTTTCCTTACAGTTTTCTCTCTGTAGGGAGAGCTGAGTTGTGTCTCTGGGAAGCTGTGTAAGGATAAGTGGAATTGCATCCCCCTTTCCTCAGCGCAGTCCGTTTTGTACTGAGTGCCCTCTGGAGGTCTCGGGCACGCAGTGACCCGGAGGAATCCCGGGTACCGCGACTGTACCTGGGCTGTTCATGCCTCCTTCCTTCAAAGGTTTTCCCTCTCTTTTTTCCTCCTTTGGGAGAGTTGTTCTAGCCAACCCAGATGGGGGGGGGAGCACAGTTAAGTCAGCTATTAGTTAAAGTCAGAATTACGGCCTATGAGTTACTCAGAAAAGGTAAAAAATAATTCAGAACTTTGTCGAAATTCCCAGTCAGCCAAACTAAATCTGTTTCATATTTAGGAGCTTTGATTAGCTTTATCAATGCGTAGAAATGTGCTTCTTACTTATGTTTCTGGTTTTTCCCTAGATCTCTCTGAGGCTAAGGGGAAACTGCTAAAATACCCTTTGAGCCTCTTCTTGCAAGACATATCAGAGATCTCAGGGGAAGCTTGTTGTCCTTCTTCTTCCAGCCAAGTTCCGTAGTCAGAGGAACTCTGGATAACTTCTGTAAATATAGTAACTTTTGGGTGTTGATCTGGTTTTCTTGTAATTTATAAATTCTCTACTTTTGTCCACTTGCTCCAGTTCCCCTAACTGTAGCAGTTAAAAAAACCCCTGCACTCATCCTGACCAAGATGCTCTCTTCATTCAAAACATGTAGTAAAATTTCTGAGTTGAAGAAGCAAACTTCAATATTGCATTATTATTAATAATATTGGGTTCTGACATGGAGCTTTGCCTTTGAAAAGTATTTAGCAATATATTTTTTTTTGACTCTTGATATGCTTATTTTGCTGCTGGTGTAGCAGGTGTTTTTCTTAACCATTTTTAAGCAGAAATCCTAAGTTTAGAGGAAATGAGCACTCAATTATTTAAATTTCCTGAGATTAGAGGAAGAACACTTTGCCAAACAATGCCTCTTCACTTCAAAACCTCTCCCCATAAATTATGTTAGGAGATCTTATTAAAAGTCTGTAAAAATTTCCTATTAAAAATGGTTGATTGCAGTCCAGACCATCACAGCTTTTGTGCTTTCAGTGAAATACCACAGCTGTCGCAAAGAAATATATTGTGAGACAAAAGGTTTTGTTTCCTTAGTCATAAATTATTTTTGTGATATCTGAGGTAAGATAAAACTTTCACTTACGTTTGAGTGAAGGAAGATTCCAGTGATAACTTGTTCAAAAATCTATAAAAAGAATATAAGAATGTAGATCTAGATAGCAAATTAGAATCAGACTTCCTTTTTGTTTAAGGAAAGCAATTATTTCTGAAGTCAGTGAAGATTATAACTAGGGATAATGGCATAACTTTGCAAAGCACAGTGCCTTTATCTCAGTAGAACCTGAAGTTTAAGCTTTCAAGTCTGACCTTTGAGAACTATACAATAGAAACCTTTAGTGTTGGACAGTTTTTAAAGCAAAGTTAAAAAATAGTAAGTACTCTGTTTACTGATTATACTATGTTATATTATATTGTACTATAACACGTATTATATTACAATAAACCAAAAATTAGACTTTTTTATATTTTAAAAGAGTATCAAACAAATTGGTTTTGACCTTACTTATTTTTCTATCAGCAAATAAGTTTTCTGCTAAGGGATTCTGCAGAAACAGCAGCCATTTAGAGAGGGAAGGGTTCAATGTACACTGAATAGACTGTGAAGTATTTGCTGTCAGGACTGGATTCCAACTGTGTTCATCCATTCAAGGAGTAGAAGCATATTCCAGGTATGACCTGTGTATGTAATGAAAATGTGAACTTACAGCATATATGCTAAAGATTATTTTTCAAAATAATTTGCCAAATGATTTTGAATGAAAGATAAGTTAGGGCATTCACTATTTGCTCATCCATCATTTCTTTATGCATAAAGGTCAAATTTCTCAGCCTCCTCCCCTGTTAGAGAGATTACTGAATAAAGAAATATAGTACAGGTGCTAGAGTTTGAGAGATATTTTAGGTTATATGTGGAAACAATCCTTATTCTTTTTCTAGCTATCAATAGCAATTGTAACTAAGCCAGGTCTCTTTACCCAGTGCCATCACAAGAGTTTACTGGAATTTGTTTATTTGCACATTTAAATCAGGAGTGTACAAAACAAAAACACAAGATGGCCTTCTCTTCTGCTGTGTAATTTAGAGAAATGGATATGCAGCCATGATCCCTTAATAGCCCCCTATTTTGTTCCCCTCTGAGTGATTTTTCTCATAAATTAAAATTCATCTTCATAGTGCTTTTTTATGGCAACATGTGCTCTGCATTCTTCAGGTCAAACACTCAGACTGAAAGACCTATGAAGATCAGTATCTTTAGTATAAGGTCCAAAGCAAAATAATCAGTACTTAGGAATTATTTCCCTTGTGAGGATGAGGAAATATATTTCACATCCCGTGTACCTCGGACAGGGACAAGGTGAGTCAGGTTTTTGGGAGACCAGTGGAGATGAGGTGCCTCAGGCACAGAATTCCATGCTGGTCCAGCCATTCCCAAAGGGTGTGTGGGGCACCTGGGGGTCAGGGAGGAGAACCAAAAGCCTCTGTAGTCATCTGTACCCCGTTAGGGTCTAGTTCTGTGTTCTCACCCATGCTGAATGGTCTTTTACAAGTAATCCCACTGATGTCAGCGAGACTTTTCTGTAATAAAATGCTGTCTGACAAGAATATAGATATCAGAATCTGGCCCTCTGTGTACTAATTCCATTTTAATGAATACTTAAATGGAGTTATTATTAAAAAAGTCTATTTCCTAATATTCAATAAATCAAAACTATAAAACCGGTTTACCAGTTGTTGCCACTCTAGTCAAAGCCAGTTTCTCTCATATTGAAAATAATAGTACGTACTGTCTCCATTCAGGGGGGATTAATTGTAATACTTTTATCTGCTTCATAAGATTTATTTCTAATAATGAAGAGCAGAGAAAAGTAGGGGAGCTTTAAACATTTATTGTTTTGATTAAAGCGCCATATATTCATGAGATGTTTCATAAACACGGAATTTGCTTAACGTGAGAAGCTTGTTTCATGAACGAGCAACTTCAAAACAGAATTTTTAAAAAACATTATTCATTTCTCTGATCATATCCCTTTAATTTTGTAAGATGGAGCCTTGGGCACTATGTGATAATGCTGGGATACACATGAAAAGCCTGCTAAGATTTTGTAGGCCTGTCACCTGATGAAGATTATTAGAGCAGTATTGTGACATATTGCTACTGGGGAAACTACCTGACATCAGTCCCCACTGCTGTGAAACACAGTGGGACTATATGGAAAAATGTTTTGGATTTGAGGTGGTTTCTCCCTACATGCAGAAGAAGACAGATCTGCTTAACTTCCATGGTGACATTCACGCCAAGGAGTAGGAAATTTGCTTATGGTGCTGTTTGACTTCGTTGCACAGTAACAAAATACAAATAAAAAGCAGCAAAGGGAGGGCAAAAAGAGAAACTGAATTCTCTTTGGTCAAAGATAAATCTGCCATTGTATTGAGAGCCTGGCAGAAAAATTCTAGCGGAGTATTATTTCCTTGGAATTTGCTAAATCTTTGAAATCCAAATGTTTCACAAGGGTGGGGGATTGTTCAGCTCCCTCAAGATGTTCTTCTAGGCAACAGGCAAGTTTTCTGATTTTATGCCTTTACACATGCCAGGTTTCCAGAGGCTCTAGCTTTGATGCAGTCCACTAGACACCCTGGTGTGGGGCCAAGGATGCCAACTCCTCCGTTGCTCTGCAGCAGCCTACCAAGTTGCTTTTACAAATTATGCATTTTCTCCAACCATAAATATTGCTCCTAAAAGGGATACTGAAATGAATATAATATGACTTTTCTGTAATAGGTCTTCTAATGTCAGCCATTCTGTTTAAACTGCTCAATTTTCCACAGAATTAAAGATCTACACAGTATATTCTACCTCCTGCAGACTGCAGTTGTTAAAAGAAAATAAATCACTTAAACAGGGTCATGAGCAACAAAGGCCAATGTGGGTTCAAAGTTTACAGGTCTCTGCATTTATCAGGTAGAAATATGCTACATTTCACTATTTCATAAAATATCCTTTTATGAAAAAGCCATCAATCTTTGTATGGCCTACTAAAACTGATTTCTCAAATGAAAGAAATGAATGATGACACCAAATCAAAAAATCGTTTATGAGTTTATATTTTTGCAAGACCACCATGACTTTCACATACGTTTTCAATTTTGGGAAGGATGTGATTATCATGTGGATATGTTTTACTCCCACCATTTGTACTAAGGGATCTGTCAGAACTGTGTACCCTTCCCTGGGCAGTTCAGGATTTGTTCAGATTTTTTCATTAATCTGTAGTGGTTTTTATCCAGTGATCGTTATCATTTCTGTTCATTGTCTACAGATTTTCTGGGTTATATATAGATATAGATAAAATCACATCTATCATATGCAAGTTCACATTTAAACTAAAACTGCATCTAAATGACTTAATTGTTTCTCAAAGGTTTTTAACATTTTTGTGGAATGATTTTTGTGTGATTTCTGTCACACACTCTACAAAACATCATATTAATTACAGATTTTTCATTATCCTTCTGATCTTTCCTTGCCATTGCCAGGCTTCCTCTGGGAGTCACCAAACTCCTTGACCAAAACTGGACAATTTAAGGCACTTGAAAACAGTATTGTATATTTATGCTTCAGATATTGTAGAACTACTGGGTTTGGGGCAGGAATAATATAAAAACCTACTTTATTTCTCATCTGATGATGACAACCAATACAACAAGCAGCCTGCTGCACTGGAATAGGGAAAAGTGATTTCTGTTCTGGGAAATGGTGTGGTCTCCCCTTGGGTTTGCACAGAGAAAATGAGCTTGGCCTTTCTGGGTCTCCAGTGAAAACAAACAAATTAATACGATTTATTAAGTATCAGTCTCATAAGAAGAAGACTGTATGGGGAAGCGGATCTGAACTTCTGAGAAAGAACTTGGTGCTTGGGTTTTTAAGAGGGGCATTTTGCTCCATTTGCTGAGGAGTTCATTTTGGAAAAAACTTGTCATTCTTGCAGTTTTTTTAGGAAATTTTACTTTTTTTTAAGCTTATTTAGGAATTATCTTTTTTATCTATTTTTGATTCAGGAATGAAAATGCGAAGTTAAGGAGTGTTCTGTGCTTCCTTTTTAACTGAGAAGTTAGACTTTTAGTCAAATAATGCATCATATATTATCCCTATCAACCTCCTCTAGTCCCTCCTAGGGGGAAAAAAAAGACAAAAGCATTGAAAGAATGGAGTTTAGTTGTAAATAATGGAATTTAGTTGTAATTAATGTAATTCTTTTGGGAAGAACCTTTTGCCAAGTCACACACAGAGCGTTTGATGCGGAGTCAGCACTGTCGGGACACAAACCTTGCTGCACCATGGCTGGCACTGCTCTCCTGCAGCCTTATGGTGGTGACAGGGTCTCACAAAGTCATTTCACAGCCTGCTGTGAAATACAGCTCATGTCACCACCAAAGACTCTGGA